AGCAAGGCTGGGGTTTGCACCCGATCAGCGTGACTGTCTTTACTCTGCCTGCATCCCAGTGGGGACAGCCTCCTGGGTTTCCTCTCCTGGAGAGATCTGGGCGGGGAGAATAGGAGGTCGGTAGAAAGGACAACTCTGGGGAATGCCGAATTGTGGGACCGGGAAAGGAGGTACCCTTAGGGGCAGCATTATCCCTGGCCTGGACAGAGCTAAGCCGGTTCCGAGAGGGAGTGCCCTGGCGGGGGGCAGCCTGCTCCAGCAGTTGGGCAGTGGGGCACTGGGACCAGGCCACCGGCTTCTGGGGGTGATAAAGCCGGGAACCCAACTGAGACTACAGATCTGAAGGAGCTCTCTGGCCCGGCTGGCGGCCATTGTTCCCAGCCTCCAATCAGGAGCACCCACTTCCTGTTATTTTAGGCGGCAGGAAATGACCCCATCCCGCAGCCTGGGCCCCACCACATCCCTCCCTCAGCCCCAGCAGGGCTGCCGAGGCGCTGAAGACAGAGGCCCAACCTCAGGCCAAGGCCTGGAGATGCCCCTCAGCTGGACTATTACCACTACCTGGGTCCAGGGCCTTCCTCCTGGTTCAACTGCTTAGGCTTCAACCTAGCAGGCTTCCCAGAGGACCCAGGACTCTGCTGGGGCTACCTCTGCCTGCCAGAGAAAAGATTATGGGGTCCCCAAGATCAAGATGCCCACACAGGCCAGTCATGGGAGGGAAGCAGGCCAGACCTTGTCACTGGCTGGCTTAGCCATAATTCAGCTTAGAGGTTTGGGGCACAGACTTCAGAGTCAGACGGATTTGAGTTCAAATCCTGCCCCTGCCAGTTGCTAGCTGTATGAATTTAGGCAAGTGACTTCAGGCAAGTGACTTCATCTTCCTGAGTCTCATCTGTAAAATGGGGATAATGCTAGTCCCTACTCATGGGACTGTGGTGAGGAACAAATGAGACAATGCCCGTGACATGCTGAGCATTGTGCCTGGCACAGAGAAGGCCCTTAATGAGTAGGAGATAGTAAGTCAGAGATAATTAATGGGAAATAACTTGGTTCACCAGGGAGTCTCTAGCTGGCTCACATCATCTCTTACAACTGCTGAGGAGCGCTAGTAAGGGCAGCAATACCATGTTCCCTACGCCCTACCAGGCTCTCTGCTCTCCTCAGGGCAGAGCTGCAGCTGAGAAGTGGTGGAGGAAACACTGAAGGCTGTGCCCCTGGGTGCCAGGCAGAGCTACCACCAGCCAACAAAGCTGCATTATCTGGGCCTGGCTAGTTGGCTCCCTTACTAGCCCCAAGGCCCAGCAGGGACCTAAGGACGTGGGTCCTAGCTGCCTGTGGCCTAACTTCCAGCCTGGGTCAGACGTGAGACCTGACCTGATGGCCCTCAAGTATGGCCATTCTAGTCTGGACTCGGCTTTCAGTCCCTTCCCTCAGCCCTTGCCCATCAGTCCCTTCCCTCAGCCCTTGCCCACTAGCCTGTTGGGAAAGGGGACCTGCGTTGGCCTAGTGTCCCTTCTACCTCATTTGCATATGCATGACTGCACATTAGGGGCCCATTAGAGGCCTCATTATTGGGCCCACCAGCCCAAGAAGGGACTAGGAAGCCGTCATTGGGAGGTGCCAGCCAGCTGGCTGCTGGATGTATGGCCAAAGCCCCCTGTGCCAGTCTTACCAATGTCTATTTGTCCTTTCAGATCCATCTCAAATGCTGCCTCCTCCGTGAAGCCTTCCATAAGCACAGCCCACTGCACACTATCACCGTTATACCTGGTTCCCTGCAGTGAACACATCTGCCTCCCTGGCCAGGTTAAGACCTCCCCAAGGGTCAAAACTCCATCTGATTCACTTCTCTGCCATCCACATAGACTGCACTGAGCTGGCATACGGTGGGGCATCAGCATGGGTGTGCTAGATAGCCGGCTGCACCTGTTTCTTGGGTCTTTTCTCCTATTCCCAGTGTCCCACTTCAGGTATGGGGCCCCTCTGATCCCTGGATACACCCTAGCTCATGTCTGCCTAGAACTCCCCTCTCCCCTGCCTTCTTGTCCTATACTTACCTCCTATAATTCTAATCAATCACATCTCAGGCTTCTGACGGAATTAAAAATAACAACAAAAAACAAATAGCTAGGCCAGGCATGGTGGCTCATGCCTGTAATCCCCACACTTTGGGAGGTCAAGGAGGGAAGATCACGAGGTCAGGAGTTAGAGACCAGCCTGGCCAACATGGCGAAACCCCATCTCTAGTAAAAATACAAAAATTAGCCGGGCGCGGAGGCAGGCGCCTGTAATCCCAGCTACTCGGGAGGCTGAGGCAGGAGAATCGCTTGAACCCGGGAGGCGGAGGTTGCAAAGAGCCGAGATCGTGCCACTGCACTCCAGCCTGGGTGACAAGAGCAAGACTCTGTCTCAAAATAAATAAATCAATAAATAACAAATAGCTAGCACTTACTGAGCACTAACTATGTGCCAGGACCTAGCCTAAGTTTTTCTGTGTTCATCTAATTTAATGATGCCAATGTCTCTATGAGATAATTTCTAGCATTATTCTCATTTTACAGATGGGCAAACTTAAGACTTAGGTTAAGCAACTTACTGAGATCACACAGAGGTAAGTTACAAAGTGGAGACTTAAACTGTTTGATTACAGAATCTACGCTCTTAAACAAATTGACTCCCAATTCCTGCTCCCACCCTCCTCTATATTTCATACCTCCCTGCTGGCACCGGTTGCCGGAGCATAACCACAATAATGGTAATAACACTTTATTGCAGGTGTCTGGTGTCTGCGTGCCAGATTCCTTGAGTTACATCATCTCTAACCCTCACATTAACCCCACAAGATTGACAATACTGCCCCTATTTTCCAGGGGTAGAAACCGTGGCTCCAGGAGGTAAGTCACTTGCTCCAATCCAGTAGCCGGTACATGGCTAACTGGGATTTCCATCCAGGTTTTCTGACCTGAAAGTGGGCCCCACACTTGTCCTCTACCCCATGCCACCCTCTGTTACTGCTCAGTGTCCAAGTGTAAAAAGGAACTCAAAGGGAGCAGGGATCGTGTCACATGCTCTCGGAGTGTCAGGCCCATGCCTCAGACTATCACAGGGCACATGCTGTGAGCACATTTACTCCCACAAAGCCCCATAGAGGACTCCTGTCACCTTTGACTATTCTGTGTGGGGAACCGCCACTATCCTGATCCAGGTTCTCATGTGACTCCATCTAGATCCCTGTGTATAGAAGAGTCCTCCCAATGCAGGAAGCCTATATGCAGTCCCCCCACCGGCCCCTGACCCAGCCCTCCCCCTCAACCCAGCCTCCCCACTGCCCCCGGAGAGCCAAGCATCTCACCCATGCTCTCATATTCAGTCTAGGCATCCTACCCAAGTATCCTAATTATAAAGTAGCCACAGCTCAAGCTCTCTGTATCCCAGTCACCACCCCCATTCAGGCCCCCAACTATACACCAACTATATACCAGAGGCCCTCAGGTGCAGAGGGCCAGTAAGCTGAGGTTGGATTCAGGCTGGGCCTCCCTGGGTGTCCCCTCTCAGGCTCAGTCAAACCGGGACAGACCCAGCCACCCTTGTTTCCAGCCCAGCCTACAAGCCTCCTGAAACCCACCAGTCTGATGGTAGCCTCCCCTCCGCATTCTCCCAGATTCCATACCCAGACAGTCCCCTAGAAGCATCCTTGCTGGCATGGGGAGGAGCCCATCCACAGCCCATCAGCCCTACCTTATCCTGGGCTTTCTCCGCACCCACACACTGTTTCATCCTGGGCCCACACCCCAAGGGACAGGGAGGTGACAGGATTAGGCTCAGGACTCCATGGGGGTGTGGGGATGGAGCCACCTCCCCCCTGAGTCAATGGGAACAGAACTTGGGTCCTCAGTAATCATGTTCTTCCCTCCCCTTCCAGGAAGAAAGAGAAATCGCCTCCTTCCAAAACCAAGCCCAACCAGAAACCTGTCCCCACCCCCTCATCAGCTGCTCCCAGATCCGAATGGGATTTGCAGAAGTCCTGAGCACTGGTGGTTGGTGGGGTGAGCGGTGCGGGGGGAGCTTTGGTGGTCTGAGGTGTGGGCAGAAAGAGAAAAAGAGTAAGCGGGGAGGTCTCAAAGCCTCAGGTTGGGGAATGATGTGGCAGGTCCAGGGAGTGCCGGCTTGGAGCCTTTACCTCATTCTCTAGTGAGAGATTCCGGCCCAGAGAGGCTGGGAAGGAGGGCAGGCAGGAGAAGCAGATTTACTTCTGTCCCCCTCCTCCCCGAATCGGGCTGGGTGGGCTCCAGAGTGGGCCTGGCTGCAGGGGAGGCGGCCCACTCCCCAGCTCCCGCCCTCGCCCCAAACAATGCCGCCTCCCCCTCCCCCTCGCCTTTATCCGGCGGGTTACTTGGCAGCCGCGGCTAGAGACCTCCCTCTCCCCTCCCCTCCCTGCTTTCCCCTCCCCGCCGGCCCGCAGCAGCAACAGGCCCTTTGCGCGGCAGCTGGACGGATGGGGTGGGGGCGAGGTCTGGGCCAGGGTGTGAGGGTACGGGCACTAAGGCCGAGGCGTCGGTATGCAGGGCCCAGGCCTGAGAATCTGGACCCCCGACACACTCAGGCTGGGGTCACATGTGCCACGGGGGATGGGGAAGGGGACGGAAGCCCTAGCTCGGTAGAAGAGGATCTTCAGGGCCCGGGGTGGATCGGGAAGGGATGTGGGGGCGGGGAAGCTGAGATGGCACTAAGCTGGGGCAGAAGGGTCACCCCAGCAACTCCCGCGCGGGGTCCCCGCGGTTCCCGACGCCCGATGCGTCCGGCACCCGGGGTGGGGGCGGGGGCAGCTGTCAGAGGATGCATCGGGAGCCGCCGCCGCCGCAGCCTTTATTTTTAAACTACCAAGTGGTCAGAGGGCGCGGCGGCAGAGGGGTCCCCGCCCAGCCGGCCGGCCTCATCCTCGGCCGCCCCGCAGCCCCTCCATCTACCCCCATCTCGCCTCCGCGTGGCTCCCGGCATACCTGGGGGTGCGCCCGCCCCCAGCTCCGCACGCGGGCCGCTCTCCATGGCTGCGGCGTCACTGGGGGTCTCGGGGTCTCAGCGGCGGCGGCGGCGGCGGCCAGCGGCCAGGACAGGGGTCCCGCGGCGCATCACGCCCGGCCCGGCAAGCAACAACTCGGAGGCGGGGGCGCTCCGGGGAAGGTCGAGGCAGGTGGCCCGCGAGGCTCGGAGGTGCCGGTTGCCCAGGGTCTCTCGGCTGCGGCCGCGATCCCGTTCCCTGCCCGGCGCCGGCCCAGTCCCGGCCTCGGTCCAACCCTATTGTACCGCCCGGGCTGGGCCTGGCCTCTCGCTGGCGCGTACCAAGTTCGACGCGGGGGAGTCCGCCCCAGCAGCGCCCCGGGACCCAGCCCCGCGCGCCCGCGCCGTCCGCGCCGCCCCCGCCCCGGAGCCCCGCGCCCGCAGCCTTCCGGCGCCTCTTCCACGGCCACGGCCGAGCGGGCGCCACGGCTCCAGGAGTTCGCCGCGCCAGATGCCTCCCCCTGCGTCCGCGCCTTGGTACGCGCCGCAGCGCCAGAGGACTATGTAGGGAGCGCTCGGGTGACTCACCCGCCGCGGGGACTGGGGGAGAGGGGGAGCAGGGCTGGGACTCCCTTTTCCCACCCTGGAGTTTGGGGGCTCTGGCGCTGGGGCTGAGAGGGCAGCTTCGAGTCCAAATTCTTTCTCAAACCCACCTAAACCAAAGCGGCCCTGGGGACGTCGGGAGGCATGAAGGAGAGTCACAAGGAGGCCCCTGAAAGGGCTTCGCTTTCTCTCCCCTGCTGATGGCTGGGCTGGGGAGAGGTCCTGGAGCCTTGCTGCCGCCCTTGCTCCGGCATCCTGGGCTTGTGTCTTCCCTGCTCCTCTAGGGTAATTACAGCCCTGCGCAGCTGCCTTACCCAGGTCTCTAATCTGCTGGGTCCCTCCCGGCTCCAAACTGGGTGGTCCTAGCCCTGAACCTCCCCCACCCCCACCAGACGACCCCGCCAATCACCCCAGAAGGATTTTCTCCCCGTGGTCTGTCGATGAGGGGGTGGCGACCCCCTCCAGAATCCACTCCCTAAAGTAGCCCTTCTTCCCAGCCCTCCAGAGTGGACTCCCAGCCCCCTTGTTGGTGCCAGCTGAGGTGAGGGCTTCAAGCCAAGCCAGGCCCAGCCCGGGGCAGAGTGGGGAGCTTGCTGGGAAGGTGGATGATGGTGCTGCTGCAGGGACTTGGGTTGGTGGGGAGGAGGAGGGGCAGCTGGGCCCTGCGCACCCTGGCCCTGCCCTTTGTCCTGACTTCTAGAAGGTCAGTTCTCTAGTTCTTCATTGTCCAGAGATTAGGCCCAGTGAGATACTGTCCCCCTTGCCCCCCTTCCCGCCAGTGCCTCCTTCCTTTTAGCAGCTCCAGAAAGCGGCCATTTGGAGGGATAGAGTGGGAAACAAAAGCGTCACCAGCTCAGGCAACCTGGGAGCAGCCTGTCCTGGGATGTGTGCATACCCGGGGGCTTGGACACTCTTGGGAAGGCCTGGGAAGGGAATAGTGTCCCTTCTGGCCCAAAAACATTAGAAAAGGATGATGGTAGAAGGGCGGCAACTGGAGCCGGCAACCTTGAGCTAGTGACGTAACTTTTCTAAAATCTAATTTGCTTTCCTACAAAATCAGAAAAATAATAGTGCCATGAGGTATCTTGGGGTCTTTGTAAAGATTAAATAAGGCAATGGAAATGAAGTGCTGAGCACAGAACCTGGCATCTAGGAAGTGCTCAGTAAATAAGTATAATGGTGATGAAGGCATTGATGAGTAAAAGTGGAAGGACGAGAAGCAGATCCCGCATCTTTGTGTCAGTCATCTTATCTGCAGGGTGGGGGGACTGCGGGGATGTTGGAGTTCATGACAGTCCTTTGTGAGGTCAGAGGCCTCACAGCCTGCCTCTTCCAAAGCTGGACAGGCCAGACCTGACCCAGACAGCAGAATTCAGGAACACATATGGGGAGAGCCCTCTGGGATGGTTCTTCTCCCACCTCCCACCCCTTGTCTTGAGATTACTGCAGGGATGAAGATAGATGGATGAATGGATGGATGGGAGTAGTGAGATACCCACCATTGGCTACGGTTCAAGAATAGTGTCTGGCTGTGGTGGCTCACACTGTAATCCCAGCAATTTGGGAGGCCAAGGTGAGAGGATTGCTTGAAGTCAGGAGTTCGAGATCAGCCTGGCCAACATGGTGAAACCCTGTCTCTACCTAAAATACAAAAGTGAGCCAGGTGTGGTGGTGTGCGCCTGTAATCCTAGCTACTCCAGAGGCTGAGGCAGGAGAATCGCTTGAACCTCGGAGGCGGAGGTTGCAGTGAGCCAAGATCGTGCCACTGCACTCCAGCCTGGGCAACAGAATGAGACCCTGCCACAACAAAACAAACAAACAGCCAAACAAACAAAAAGAATAGTGGAGGCGGAAATGGCAGCTAAAAATGAACAGATAGGTCAGGGACAGCCCACGCAGGAGGACTTGAATGCCAAATGGCTTGGAAATGAGCATGGGGAGCTATTGAAGATCATGAGGGTTTTCAGTAGAGGAAGGGAGAGCAGACTTTAGAACTGGAAATCTATTGTCTTCGGGATTGACTGTGGGGAGCTCACTAAAAAGAGACAGCGCGTGGTATTAGCCTACGTCAGGGGTTCTCAACCAAGGGTAATTTTGCCCCCCAGGAGACATTTAGCCATGTTTAGAGACACATGGCGGTGTGGGGGGGTGTGTCTGTAAACATGGCAGCTACTGCGTAGAAGCCAGGGATACTGCTTACCATCCTACATTGCGTAGGACCATCCTCACAATAAGGAATTCTCAGGTGCAAAATGTCAGTAGTGCTAAGGTTGAGGAACCCTTCCCTAGCCTGAGGGTGAGGCACTCATAATATGTTGATTCTGGAGACCAGCAGAGCATCTGGGAGTTTGGCAGCTTAAATGACAGTTCTCCTGGCCAGACCCGAAGGCTTCCTGCACTGCTGACAAGTCCACAGGGAGTGCGGGAAGGATGGCTGAGGGGGTGTCTGGAGAGCACCCATTTTCCGTGATTGAGACAGTCGGTGGACAGAGAAAGTGGACTCCTCTCCATTCTCCTCCTCACTGGCCAGGATCCCTGGTGGATCCCAGGCCCCAGCAACCAAGAGGGTTAAGAGTGGACGTCTCTCTGAGTTTGGGGCTACGTGACGCTGCATGGGGCACCACAAATATTAGACATCCCAGAGAAGGAGCAAGTTGGGTACTTGTTGAAACCCTAACATAAGAGGCTGAAGTCCCAACAGCATTCTCTGCAGGCTTTGCTCGAGGGATGGGGACCTCTGGACCAGGGCAGTCTCCTCAGGGCAGGAGGAGATTGTGGCCCAGGGCAGTCTCCTCCTTCTGCATGGAAACAGGCATGAGTGAGCTGTTCCTTTCCCTTTGGAAGGCCGACGCAGGCGGATTGCTTGAGCTCAGGAGTTCGAGACCAGCCTGGGCAACATGGTGAAATCCATCAAAAATATAAAAAGGTCTCCATCAAAAATACAAAAAATTAACCAGGCATGGTGGTGCGTGCCTGTAGTCTGAACTACTCAGGAGGCTGAGGTGGGAGGATCACTTGAGCCCAGGAGATCAAGGCTGCAGTGAGCCATGTTTGTACCACTGCACTCCAGCCTGGATGACAGAGACCTTGTCTGAAAAAAGAGAGAGAGAAAAAAAATATTAAAAAAAAGAGTATAATAGAAAAATTTTTGGCCAGGCGGGGTGGCTCATGCCTGTAATCCCAGCACCTTAGGAGGTGAAGGTGGGCAGATGACCTGAGGTCAGGAGTTCATGACCAACCTGGCCAACATGTCGAAACCCAGTCTCTACCAAAAATACAAAAACATTAGCCAAGCGTGGTGGCACATGCCTGTAGTCCCAGCTGCTCAGGAGGCTGAGGCAGGAGAATCACTTGAACTTGGGAGGCGGAGGTTGCAGTGAGCCAAGATCACACCACTACCACTGCACTCCAGCCTGGGCAACAGAGCAAGACTCTCTCAAAAAAAAAAAAAAAAAAAGGAGAAAAAAAAAAAGAAAAAGAAATATGTTTCCATCCTGTTTCCCCTAGGGGAAGAAAGGCAAGGGCATTTTCAGCCTCCTAGGTTTGGTGGGGCAGGATCCAGGATGAACCTGATGGAGAGGTGAAGGAAATCACAGGGGGAGTTAACAAAGTTACAAATCTCATGACTGAGGCCCTGGATGCTGCTCCCACACCCACAGAGTACTGCAGGAAGTGGGAGGGGCCTCACAGTGGGGGCAGAGAGAATAGGCATCACATTCTCACTCCCACCCCAGCCTCAAGGCACTGCCCCAGCCTCAAGGGACTGCAGCAACAAGGGGTCTCTAACCAGCACCGGCCTTCCTGGGGGGCCACAGCCTCCGGGGCCCACTCCCTGGGGCTGGTGATGCCAACTGCCCCTCTCCCTCCAGCTCTTGGGGAGGCGGGGAACTCAGATACAGGACTAAATAGGTTCAACCCTTTGGGTTCCTAGGAGAGAGTCTTTGTCTAGAGCCCCTGATAGGAACAGAAAGCTATCCCTTGTGTTGTTTTCTAGGGAGAAGGAGAAGAGGGTGGCGAGGGGACATCTGGTGTTCCTCAATGTCCTGGACCCTAGAGGTTGTAGGGAGGGTTTGGGATTTGGGAATGATGGAAACCGTAGGGAGAATCCTTGGAACAGCTGTCTAAGGAGTTTTTTTTTTTTTTTTTTTAAAAGACAAGGTTTCAGTTCTGTCACCCAGGCTGGAGTGCAGTAGTGCAAACATGGCTCACTGCAGCCTCCACCTCCTGGGTTCAAGCAGTCTTCCCACCTTAGCCTTCCTAGTAGCTGGGGACCACAGGTGCACGCCACAATGCTCAGCTTGTTTTTTTTTTTTTTTTTTTTTTATAATTTTTATTTATTTTTGTTAGTAAAGAAACAAAAGAAGCCGGGCGCGGTGGCTCAAGCCTGTAATCCCAGCACTTTGGGAGGCCGAGACAGGCGGATCACAAGGTCAGGAGATCGAGACCATCCTGGCTAACACGGTGAAACCCCGTCTCTACTAAAAAATACAAAAAAACTAGCCGGGCGCGGTGGCGGGCGCCTATAGTCCCAGCTACTCGGGAGGCTGAGGCAGGAGAATGGCGTGAACCCGGGAGGCGGAGCTTGCAGTGAGCTGAGATCCGGCCACTGCACTCCAGCCTGGGCGGCAGAGCGAGACTCCGTCTCAAAAAAAAAAAAAAAAAAAAAAAAAGAAACAAAAGAGTGACTATTTCATAACAGAACAGCCTTTTTAAAAATTATTTTTTATGGAGATGGGGGTCTCACTATGTTGCCCAGGCTGGTCTCAAACTCCTGGGCTACAGTGTTCCTCCTGCCTTTGCCTCCCAGTATGCTGGGGTTACTGGCATGAGCCACTGTGCTCAGCCTAAGAAGCCTTTAAGAACCCATCTGAGTGAGGAGGGGATCATATAGATCAACCGGAGATGGCCCCCACCCCCACTGTTAATTCAGGACTAATGACATTGCAAGTCCCAAAGAGGAAGAGACGCCAAGTGGAGGAATCCCAGGCAGAGAGAGGCAAAATCTCAGAGGCTGTTGGACAGGCAGGGAAAGGCTCCACCTCCAGTCTCTCTAGAACCGCCCTGCTTGACAGCAGGCAGGGTGGGGTCGGGTGGCTGGCCGTGAGTATGACTCAGGTTTCTGTGGGCAGCCAAGGGCAGCCGGCAGGGAGGAGCCCAGACCGACAGACAGGCTGGCCAACTGCAGCTTTCACCTCAGCTGTCCTCTCTCCTGGGAATGCAGAGGCCTCTTCTCAAGATGAGCTGGCCCTTGGGGGCTAGTTGACCCCTGCTTTCCTCCCCCAACCCCAACCAACCCTCAAGTTCCTTCCCAGAGCCCTCGGCCCTTGGCTCCTTCCCCTGTGGCATTACACAGGATGGAGAGTGAGGGGTCACTGCCTCTAGGGAGAAAACAGAATGTCTGGGGAAAGGGGTATAATAATGATTGGTCCTGCAACCTGAGGGAGGGACTGGGGGAACCCTGGGCACCAGCTTGCAGCCTGAGCAGCCCCCCCAGCCCTCCCTAGCCTGGCTGGCTCATGTCTGGACAGGCTGGTTGTCATGGTGAGGGCTAGGGGCCAGAATGCAGCTGCTACAGTCAGGCTACCAGGCCTAAGTGAACAGAGAGTGCTCAGGGACCCCCCAGCCCAGCTTTCTCAGAGTTGATCAGCTGAGAGACCGCTGGAGCTGAAACCAAAGAGCTGTGGTCAGGGACTGTAGACTTCCCCTTGGTGATGGGTGAGGGTTCAGCCAGCACATTCCCTTCGTGTTTCTGGGGCCTGTTTGTTGGCTTGTTTTTGGAGGGTGGCTGGAAGGGAATACACGTTTATTTTATGCCTTTTATGCGCCCAAGTGCTGGGCATGCGTGGCTCACCAATCTTTACAACAACTGAGAGAGATTCAGCAACTTGCCTAAAATGGCAAAGCTGGGATTAGAACTCAGAACTGACGGCCACGACAGTTAGTGATCTTTGTTTCCTGGGAACCAGGCAGTGTAGCTGTTCTAGGGGGATGGAGGGGGAGAAAGTGACTTGAACTTTATCTAAAAGACTGGATATTCCATCACGAAGCCACAGGTGGTAGAATGCGATGCTGGCAGCATTTGGGGTTTGGGAACAGATGGCAGTCTGAAGAGAACGGCACTAGCGAAATGCTTGGCACATAGTAGGTCATTAAATATTTTTCTAATGAAGAAGCCAATTCTGTGTGAGTCATTGCTAGTTTTCTGGGACATCTTGGGAGCTTCTGGAGCTGAATCGCAATAGCGGAAGAAGCTAGCTCGAAAGAGGGACTTTCCAAGACCAACCCTGGCGAGAGAGGAATTTGCGGAGCATCATCTCTGAGCCGGGCGCGGGGGGAGGGAGTCCGGGGGAACCCTGTGGATTGCCCAGGATTACCGAAGGCTGCGGACGCCACCCAGTGGCTGGGATGCTGTCCAGGGCGAGCTGAGCTCTACCAGGCAGGCGCGCGCGGAGCACTCCGGGAGTGGTAGTTGACTGCGTTAAGAGGCGGTGCTGCCAAAGAGGCTGTTGGGTGTTGTAGTCCGACGTTTGTTGGGCGGGAGATACCCTCGTCGGCCGGACCACGAGTCCCGTGGTGCCCCGCGGCAGGCCACGCAGGCGCAGTGAGTCAGTGCCGGTCAGTCCCTTGGGCTGAGGGGCAGCGGTTAGGCGGGAGGCGTCTGCAGGGGTCGCCGAGCTAACCCTTGGCTAGGAGAGTGGGGCGGGGCGGCCGGCACCATGTCCAGGCAGGCGAACCGTGGCACCGAGAGCAAGAAAATGGTAACTTGGAGCGCGTGACCTCGGCGGGCGGGGCGAAATTGAGGCATACAGGGAAGGGGCCCGGCCCCGAGCGCGAGGCGCGTTTGGAAAAGGGCCCTTTTGTGAGCTCTGGCGGGGGAAGCCTCTTGCTGGATCACTCCGGGGCGTCCCAGGCAGGTTAGGGGACCGTCGGAGAAGTTCCCCGGAGGAGACCTCTTTCCCGTGGAGACCCCGCCCCCAAGGCCTGAGTGCCGCTGTGTCCTAAGCCAACAACAACGACGGTAATAAATACCAGTAACTGCCACTTACTGCTCTCTTACTGTGTGTTAGGCACCGGGCCACGCACGTTACATGCATTCCAGTATCTCAGTTAATCTGCAGAGTAGCCCGTATCAGATGGATAACATGATTGCCGTTTTTACAGCTTGGAGAGCTTACGTAATTTGCTCACATTTACACCTGGAAAGTTAGGACTTGGACCCGTGTTTAACTCCAAAGCTAATGCTTCATACTGTTAGGCTATACTCTTAGGCTATAGTGACTCGCACTGTGGCGTGGGTATTGTGAGAGATGTTCAGTTACTGGTCATGCCAGAAAGGAACGTTTTATTCAATGAAATAAGAGATGGGCCAGAGTAAGCAGTGAGTGGTGCGCTTTATGGAGTGGGTGGCTCCCTTCTTTCCCGGGGAATAGTTGGACACCATATGGTCCTATAAAGTTGGACTAGGGGCTGGGGCTGCAGACTTAGGTCATTTTTCATTTTTTCTCCCCCGTCCCATCCCCAGACGAAGTCTCTCTCTGTCACCCAGGCTGTAGTGCGGTGGCACTAACTTGGCTCACTGCAACCTGCCAGGTTCAAGCAGTTCTCCTGCCTCAGCCTCCCGAGTAGCTGGGATTACAGGTGCCCACGACCACGCCTGGTTAATTTTTGTATTTTTAGTAGAGATGGGGTTTCACCATGTTGGCCAGGCTGGTCTCGAACTCCTGACCTCAGGTGATCCGCCTTCCTCGGCCTCCCAAAGTGCTGGGATTACAGGCGTGAGCCACCTTGCCCAGCCAATTTTTGTATTTTTAGTTGAGATGGGTTTTCACCATATTGGCCAGCCTGGTCTCGAACTCGTGGTGATCTGCCTGCCTGTTCGGACTCCCAGAGTGCTGGGATTACAGGGTGAGCCACCGCGCCCGGCCAAAAGATGAGAATATTTTGTTAGGAAACAATGTCAGGTTAGGGGAAACACATGGACCTTGATTGGAATTCTGACTTGATAGATCTTCAATTTCTTTATCTATAAAATGGGGATAGTAACGTCTACCTAATATTACATGGGGTGGTGTAAAATGTGAGGGGTGTGGTAAATGTTTCCTTCTCCTTTTCCTGTGAGATGAGCAGAGGTCTTCCTGGTTAGTTTTCATAGTTTGCTCTCATTTTATCCATTTTTTAAACCTGAAATCAATATTGAAATCTTTTAACAAAAACCTGCAGACTCTACCCCCAACTCCCAGTATTCTTCGTTTCAGTGAAGTAAGGTAATTAGGGAGGGGCAGCAGCATACTCCTGCCCTCAAGGCTCTTGGAACTCCCTTCCTCTAGATAGTCACCTGGCCCACTCCTGGCTTCATTCATAGTTACTTACATGTCACCTCCTTTGAGAGACCTTTCCTCCTGGTTACCTAATTCTCTAACCTCTAACTCTGTGCTGATTGTCTTCATAGCACTGTTTAATTTTAAATTTTAAATGATTTACCCAGGCTGGAGTGCAGTGGCATGATCGGGGCTCATCCAGCCTGACCTCCAGAGTTCAAGCAATCCTCCCACCTCAGCCTCCCAAGTAGCTGGTACTATAGGTGTGCACCACCATGCCTGGCTAATTTTTTTTTTTTTTTTTTTTTTTTAGCTAGGGGTCTCCCTGTGTTGCTCTGGTTGGTCTTGAGGTCTCAAACTTCTAGGTTCAAGCAATCCCTCCGGCTCCGCCTCACAAATTACTGGGATTGCATTTGTGTTCCATTTAAGCTTTCCAAGACCTAAATTGTTTTGTTTTGTGTTTTGAGACAGAGTCTTGCTCTGTCACCTAGGCTGGAGTGCAGTGGCCCGATCTCAGCTCACTGCAACCTCCACCTCCCAGGTTCAAAAGATTCTCCTGCCTCAGCCTCCCAAATAGCTAGGATTACAGGCACCCACCACTACGCCCGGCTGATTTTTGTATTCCTAGGTTGGTCTCAAACTCCTGACCTCAAGTGATCTGCCCACCTCAGCCTCTCAAATTGCTAGGATTACAGGTCTGAGCCACTGCACCCAGCCTTCTTTTTTAGCATTGATTTATTAAAATGAAAGTACACTCCATGAAGCAGGAGCAGGATTGAGCAAACGGCTCAAGAGCCACCTAAATTGTTAATATGCCCAAGTAACTAGATTTTAGTCTGTGCAAACAGAAACAGCCCTTTTGTCCAATAAACTTTTCCTCAGCCCCAACTATATGCAGAGCTCTGTGCTAGATGCTGTGGGAGATGCAAGGATGAAGTCCTAGTCCCCAACTTTGAGAAGCACGTACTCTGTGAGGGAGACAGAAATGTATACCATATATACTGTGTATCTTCTAGCAGTGGAAAAATGAAAAGAAATGTATGCCATACAGAGGTATAGTACCGGCTGCACCTGAGTTCTAGTTTCACCACTTACTTGCCGTGTTACCTTGGGCAAGTTTGTTCATTATTCTAGCATCAGCTTCGTCACCTTTTTTTTTTTTTTTTTTTTTTTTAAATAAAGGAAGTAGGCCCGGTGCAGTGGCTCACGCCTGTAACCCAGCACTTTGGGAGGCTGAGGCGTGTGGATCACGAGGTCAAGAGACTCGAGACCATCCTGGCCAACATGGTGAAACACTGTCTCTACTAAAAATAGACAAATTAGCTGGGTGTGGTGGCACACACCTGTAGTCCCAGCTACTCGGGAGGCTGAGGAAGGAGAATGGCGTGAACCTGGGAGGTGGAGCTCGCAGTGAGCCAAGATGGCGCCACTGCACTCCAGCCTGGGCAACAGAGCGAGACTCTATCTCCAAAAAAAAAACAACCTCCTTAAGGAGATTTGACATTTTGTTTGGGGCACTGACTGGAAGAAAGGCCTCCTGAAAACTGTCAAGTGGTGTCTCACCTGAGTGTAGAGCTGGTTTCATTTACTTTGTTCATGTTGTACCTGAAGTAGTTGGAGATCATGTTAGCATAGCTGCTATAAATCCTGTGGTTTCTTGTCTGCAAAGCACATTCAAGTCGATTATCTTACTAGATCCTACCAACAGCCCTGTGAATGGCATGGCAGATTTTACTGTTTTACTGTTACTTTTTTTGAGTTAGAAGATTGAGGCTTAGCCCAGTGAATTGATTTACCTAAGTATTCACAGCTGTTAAGCAGCAAGTCCAGACTCCGAATCAGGCTTTCAGGATCTTGCTGTGTTGTCCAGGCTGGAATGCAGTGGTGTAATCACAGTTCACTGCAGCCTTGACTTCTTAGGCTCAAGCCATCCTCTCACCTCAGCCTCCTGAGTAGCTGGGACTACAGGCATGGGCCACCACACCCAGCTAATTTGTTCTATTTTTTTAAAGGTGGGTTCTCATTGTGTTTCCTAGGCTAGTCTCAAACTCCTGGGCTCAGGTGACCACTTCTGACCCCTGCCTCGGCCTCCTAAAGTGCTGGGATTATAGGCATGAGCCACCATGCCCAGCCAGAAAGTTGTTTATATTAATTCAAAATCTCTTTCTTTCCTTATTACTTGCCCTCCTTTTTTTTTTTTTTTTTTTTTTTTTTTTTTTTTTTTTTTCTGAGACGGTCTAACTCTTGTCTCCCAGGCTGAAGTGCAGTGGCGCGATCTTGGCTCATCGCAATCTCCGCCTCCTGGGTTCAAGCAATTCTCCTGCCACAGCCTCCTAAGTAGCTGGGATTACAGGCGCCTGCCACCACGCCTGGCTAATTTTTGTAGTTTTAGTAGAGAATGGGTTTCACCGTGTTGGCCAGGCTGGTCTCAAACTCCAGACCTCAGGTGATCTGTCCGCCTCGGCCTCCTAAAGTGCTGTACTTGCCCTCCTTGAACCTAGTTCAGGGTGCTCTCTAGCACCACACCACATGGAACCAGTTTAAGAATAAAAATAAGCATGTATTTCTTTTTTTTTTTTTTTTTTTTTTTTTTGAGACGGAGTCTCGCTCTGTCGCCCAGGCTGGAGTACAGTGGCCGGATCTCAGCTCACTGCAAGCTCCGCCTCCCAGGTTCACGCCATTCTCCTGCCTCAGCCTCCCGAGTAGCTGGGACTACAGGCGCCTGCCACCTCGCCCGGCTAATTTTTTTGTATTTTTTAGTAGAGACGGGGTTTCACTGTGCTAGCCAGGATGGTCTCGATCTCCTGACCTCGTGATCCGCCCGTCTCGGCCTCCCAAAGTGCTGGGATTACAGGCGTGAGCCACCGCGCCCAGCCAATAAGCATGTATTTCTTGAGTACCTGCTGTGCAGTGGGTGCTCCACAAACATCATTATCTGGAATTTCGCTGGAATTGCACAGTAACTCTGAAAGGCGGGTAACATTGTCACCATTTTACAGATGGGAAAAACTAATGTTCAGGAAGGTTAAGCAGCAGCTTAGGATAACAAAGCTTTTTACAGGATAAATGCTCAACTATAAGAAGGCTGTTGAGTTTCAGTTACTTAACCTGTCATCTGTTAAATGGGGATGAATAATGTTTGTGCTGCTAGACTCTCATGGTTGTTAAGAGAAACTGTTACCAAAATAGATGTGTTGGCTGGGCGCGGTGGCTCACGCCTGTAATCCCAGCACTTTGGGAGGCTGAGGCGGGCGGATCACGAGGTCAGGAGATGGAGACCATCCTGGCTAACACGGTGAAACCCTGCCTCTACTAAAAATACAAAAAATTAGCCGGGCGTGGTGGTGGGCACCTGCAGTCCCAGCTACTCAGGAGGCTGAGGCAGAAGAACGGCGTGAACTCAGGAGGCAGAGCTTGCAGTGAGCTGAGATCATGCCACTGCACCCCAGCCTGGGCGACAGAGCGAGACTCTGTCTCAAAAATAGATGTGTTGCAGAAGATATTCATGTTTCTGGTGGTAGGAGAGATGTGTTGCTTATGTTCAGTGAAGAGATTGGGTTGGTTGACCTTTATGATCCCATGAGAACTTTTGTTTTAAAGGTCACAAGGGCTGAAAACCCAGATCTTCTGACTCTGCAACCTCCTGTCACTTATCTGATTTCCTCTTCTGTTCTCTCTTGCTTACTCGTCTCTAATGCCAAGAGTCTCCCGCTGTTTCTCAAACACACCAGGCGTACTTCTACCTCAGAATCTTTAGAAATAGTGCCTAGAATTTTTTTAGACCAGATATCTATCCAGATATCTTCATGGCTTACCAAATATCACCTTAGTGAGGCCTTCCCTGATTATTCTATTAAAATTAACCACCCCCCAACACACACACACACACACGTACGTACACACATAAATACCCCCAATCTGTTTTTGTGCTTTATTTTTCTCCATAGCACCTATCACCGTTTGGCAAATCATGTATTTTATTTGGCTTTGTTGTCTCTTCCCCTCCTGTTAGATAGCCTGGTACACAGTAAATGTTGAATGAATGATTTATTTTCATTATACCATAGCCCACTCCTATTTTATTTGTTTATATTTGTATTTATTTTTATTTTTTTAGACAGGGTCTCACTCTTTTACCTAGGCGGGAGTACAGTGGTGCAATTACAGTTCATTGCAGGCTTGACGTCCCAGGCTCAAGCCATCCTCCCCCTCAGCCTCCCGAGTAGCTGAGACAATAGGCATCCACGATCATGCTTGGCTAATTTTTTAAATTTTTTGTAAAGTTGGGGGGTCTCACTGTTTGCCCAGGCTGGTCTCAAATCCCTGGGCTCAAGTGATCCTCCCGCCTCAGCCTCCCAAAGTGCCGGAATTACCAGTGTGAGCCAGCACACCTGGCCCTCCCTTCCATTTTTAAAGCATAAAGGCCTTTAAGTTATACATTTATGTCACTCACAGTTCCACAGAGGCTTGGTTCGTAATTGAAGATGAAGATAGACTTGCAAATCAAGAGAGGGTATGGAGAGCCTAACTTAGGGATCCCATTCCCAGATCCCAGGTATATTGATTCCATGACCACCAGCAGATCTGTCCAGGACCTTGATTTTTCTTATTGGTAAATAGGAGGTAGCTGCATGTATAAGGTGCTTGATAAGATCATGATTTGCTTGTCACTTGGCATCATGGTGGCCTGAGGCTCTTGGAGTCTCCATCCAAGGGCTCATTAATAATGGAATGAAAGCTCTCCTGATTTAATGCAGTGGTGCCAATTCTCTGGACTGGTAACTGCTGGATTGTTTCCATCCATTCATGCCCAAACCATTCTAGTGCCAAGCCCTTGACTTTACTAAAAAAATCCTTCCCCTCCTTAACAGCTTCCCCTTAATTGCCATATTTGGTAAATAGTCTCTTGGAGGTACTGATCTGACTGTTTAGTTGAGTTCAAAGGGCCTCCTGATCCTGAAACTTATTTTCTTTGACTCTAGTACTGCTAAGTTTTTTGGGTATTTTTTTTTTTCTCCTGTTTTTCTTTTTATTGAGTAGGGCTTATTAATATTGCAGTTGTGGGGAAGAGTGGATAGGTTGACCTCTGGCTTAGAAATCTTTGATTTTTTTTCTCCCCAAATTACTTATTTCAATAATTAGCTGTTTGTCTTTGGGCACATTCTTTTTGTTTTGTTTTGTTTTGTTTTGTTTTTTTGGAGACAGAGTCTCACTCTGTTGCCCGGGCTGGAGTGCAGTGGTGTGATCTCAGCTCACTGCAAGCTCCGCCTCCCGGGTTCACGCCATTCTCCTGCCTCAGCCTCCCGAGTAGCTGGACTACAGGCACCCGCCACCTCGCCTGGCTAGTTTTTTGTATTTTTTAGTAGAGACGGGGTTTCACTGTGTTAGCCAGGATGGTCTCGATCTCCTGACCTCGTGATCCACCTGTCTCAACCTCCCAAAGTTCTGGGATTACAGGCTTGAGCCACCGCGCCCGGCCCTTGGGCACATTCTTTAACCATTCTGGGTCTCAGTTTCCTCATCTCTAAAGTGGGATTAATTCTTGCCTTTCCTAGATTACTGTGTTATCATGGGATAGATAATGAGATACAAGTAGAATGCAGTATTTAAGCAAAAGGCATTCAAATTGTTATTCTTGTAATGCCCCCATCATCAGGTCATGGGGATGGCATGAGGAGCATTGGGTTCTGAGAGCCTGGGCTTTTATATTTCTTACACTTTCTTCCCCAGAAAACTTGAAGAGAGGAAGCTTCTTTGCTTCGAATCTGACAAGGTTCTTTGCTTCAAATCTGACAAGCCTCCATTCAGAAGGAAGTCAGTGGGTGGTTATCCTGATTTTTCAGCCTTATTTCTGAGTTAATCCATTGGTCCAGATGTGCTGTTAATATGTTTCTTGCTTTAACCCTGATAATACCTTTCACCCTGCCTGCTGCTTTCATTCTGTGGTCTTGGTATTTGTCACTCATTTCACCTTCTACATTGATTTCTTGGTAGATAGGTGACAGAATTTTTATTTTTTTTTTGAGACGGAGTCTCGCTCTGTCACCCAGGCTGGAGTGCAGTGGCGCGATTTCGGCTCACTGCAAGCTCTGCCTCCCGGGTTCACGCCATTCTCCTGCCTCAGCCTCCCGAGTAGCTGGAACTACAGGTGCCCGCCACCACGCCCAGCTAATTTTTTGTATTTTTAGTAGAGACGGGGTTTCAGCGTGTTAGCCAGGATGGTCTCAGTCTCCTGACCTTGTCATCTACCCGCCTCGGCCTCCCAAAGTGCTGGTACTGCAAGCATGAGCCACTGCTCCCAGCCCCAGAATTCTTCATCTGAGAAAGGGTTTCTGTGATTTTAGCTGCTATTGTAATAGGAACCAGTTGATTCTGAAGAGTCACCTCTTTTCCTGGAAATATTTTGGCTGTGCGTTAAGAGGAACATTATTTTCTCCCATGCTGGTGACTTTGGAAAGGGGTTGTCATCAGGGTGATGAACTTGGTCTGGGACTTCCTTCCTTCCCCATAGACTGGGCCCCGGGTCCTCTGTTTCTCCTGGGAGGGGCCTTGGGAGTGCAGTTTACTCTAGGCCAGGACATTCTAAGACATGTGGAAGCCATTGGTCACATCTGCCAGCCACAGAGATGAGTTTGTAAATGTCTGTTTCAGTGTTTCACAGCTTCTAGTGAATGACTGTTGCTCCCATACCAGATTCTGGTGACCTGACCTGAGGCTTGACAGCTGTGGTGGAGACTTGGGTTGACTGAAGCCTACCTTGGTGTGTTGGAAGAGTGATTGCATAGTGTGTGAGGTGCCTTTTACAGCCCATTTTGCAGTAGTTCTGGCTGCAGCCCTGCCACTTTGACCTTGTGGGCCAGATTTTCTGGCTCCTCCATTGGGATGATGTTATTTTCCTCTAGACACACTTAGAGGGAATCCTGACAGTTGCATCAAGGCTGATACAGACTCTCACCACACTTTCTCTTTTGTGCCACTTGGTCCCAACTGCCTTTTGAATCTCTTTTAGAGCTCTGAGCTCTTCACCCTGACCTATGGTGCTCTGGTCACCCAGCTATGCAAGGACTATGAAAATGATGAAGATGTGAATAAACAGCTGGACAAAATGTGAGTGAGCTCCTTCACAGGAGAGACAGAAATGGGGCCTCCCAGCACATTGAGTCTACATTGTCCTTTAGAGCTTAAAACAGGGTTCTCTGTCTTTCTCAGCCAACATTTTGGGTACATTTCTCACTAAACTCATTTACTGGGATGTTTTTGAGATTATCCCCATTTTCCCTTTACTACCAACAACCTTATGTTCAAACAAAAGACATTTAGACTCCATCATAGTCTCTTCTCTAACTTCCTTCCCAGGGGCTTTAACATTGGAGTCCGGCTGATTGAAGATTTCTTGGCTCGGTCAAATGTCGGGAGGTGCCATGACTTTCGGGAAACTGCGGATGTCATTGCCAAGGTCATTATTCTGGGCCACCTGTCCATGCTGAAGAATTGCTGCTGGGAGGCACTGCTTACCACTCTTTCTAGCTCCCTTAGAGAGCCTTTAATCTCCCAAAAGGCTGGCTAGGCAGCTCTTTGGGTCAAAAAAGCGTTCCAGGTCATTAAGGAATAGCATAGATTATTTAATCCCCATGGATTAAAGCTCCACTGAAATAAAAGCCTGAGCTTTTCCACTGTGAAGGTGTAGCAGAGTAGCATAGGGGCAAAGAATACAGACTTGATCGGGCGTGGTAGCTCATGCCTGTAATCCCAGCACTTTGGGAGGCCAAGGCGGGTGGTTCATGAGGTCAGGAGTTCAAGACCAGTCTGGCCAAAATGGTGAAACCCCATCTCTACTAAAAATACAAAAATTTGCTGGGCGTGGTGGCAGGTGCCTGTAATCCCAGCTACTCGGGAGGCTGAGGCAGAGAATTGCTTGAACCCAGGAGGTGGAGGTTGTAGTGAGCCAAAATCAGGTCACTGCACTCAAGTCTGGGTGACAGAGCGAGACTCCGTCTCAAAAAAAAAAAAAAAAGAATATAGACTCACAAACCTGGCTTCAGTACTTACTAGTTATGTGTTTTTAGGTAAGTTATTTTAAATTTCTTTAATTACCAGTGACCTCATCCTTTTTTTTTTTTTTTTTTTTGAGACTGAGTCTCGCTCTTGTTGCCTGGACTAGAGTGCAATGGCATGATCTCGGCTCACCGCAACCTCCGCCCCCTGGGTTCAAGCAATTCTCCTGGCTCAGCCTCTCGAGTAGCTGGGATTACAGGCATGCACCACCATGCCTGGCTAATTTTAATTTTGTATTTTAGGTAGAGACAGGGTTTTGCCGTGTTGGTCAGGCTGGTGTCGAACTTCCAGCCTCAGGTGATCTGCCCACCTTGGCCTCCCAGAGTACTGGGATTACAGGCATGAACCACCGCACCTGGCACCAGTTACCTAATCTTTAACCTGAAGAAAATAAGAGCTACCCACAGGGCTGTTTTAAGGCGTAAATCAATAATGGACACGAACATTTAGGTTAAATGCTAGTGTTTAGCATAGTGTGCATATAGTAAATGTTTACTATTACTAGTGTTAGTGCTGTCTATTACAGTATTAATAAATGACATAGCACCCATAACTTTGTGGTGTCAGTTACCTGAAGTTGGTCTTTCTGTTGTAAGCTTGCTGGCCATACCCAAATCCTAAAGAGGATTGACAGTGGAGAGAGCTTTGTGAGAGTTTGGAATTAGGAGGGCGGATAGGGTAGGACTTTTTCTCTGCCCAGTAATGTGTTTTCACTTTTAAGAAGGTACATTCAGGTAGCACAGACAGAGGACAGGGAAGTGGGTTAGGGGCCTCTGCACTCAGGCAGAGGAAGACTAGTGCTCCCTTCCACTGAGAAGTACAGGCAGACAGTGAGTGAGTTGTTGCTTACTTGTATGATGCCTAAGAAAGAAAAATATTTTTGGGAAAACAAAACAAAGCGACAGCCAAAATTGTATGATGCCGTGAAGGAGAGGGGTGCAGCATCACGTACAGATGCTTCTCCTTTGTTGCCCTGAGTGTCCAAAGCGTCATCTTGCGGCGGCCACAGGTTTGTTCCTGAGCCACTTACTTCCCCTTTGCCAGTTCTGTCACCTTCCCAGTGGTACAGTTCCTGCTGCTCTTCCCTAAAGCGCTGTTTTGTGTCCCCTGACAGGTGGCGTTCAAGATGTACTTGGGCATCACTCCAAGCATTACTAATTGGAGCCCAGCTGGTGATGAATTCTCCCTCATTTTGGAAAATAACCCCTTGGTGGACTTTGTGGAACTTCCTGATAACCACTCATCCCTTATTTATTCCAATCTCTTGTGTGGGGTATTGCGGGGAGCTTTGGAGATGGTGAGTGCAGCTCTTTATCTTCTGGGACACCTGAAATGCAATAGAGACTTGATAAGTGAATGGATGAAAGAGAGAAAATTCAGGGCTTTGGCTCACCCCAGCACTTTACTGTCTAAGATGGTGAGTCTGCTGAGGTAGGATCCAAGTTGGACATCTCTACATGGTGATGCTCCTCCATACCAGGCTGGAAGGTGGTGCTGCCAGTCCCCAAAGCCCAGGAACATCCATTCTCAGATAGGCTTATTTGGTGACAGTCTCTTTCTTGGGTATTCTTTGCTAAGTTTCTCCTTAAGGGTTGGAGCCATTGTCTTATGCAACAGAACATTGGCGCTGTCAATCCTGTCCTTGTGGGAAACCAGCCCCGCTTTTTTGGCTGCCGTGGATGAGTCAGTTATGCCCCATCCCCACTGGTTCCCTAGAGGCTGTGGCCAGGCAGTTACCCCTTCATTTTCCCCCTATCCCCCAGGTCCAGATGGCTGTGGAGGCAAAGTTTGTCCAGGACACCCTGAAAGGAGACGGTGTGACAGAAATCCGGATGAGATTCATCAGGCGGATTGAGGACAATCTTCCAGCTGGAGAGGAGTAACCATCCCTAGGACTCGAGGATAGCCAGCAGAAGCACTGTTGGAGTCAGCAGGCCTCTGTGCTCCCTCTGCCCTCCAGAACTCAGTGACTCTTGAACATGGATGTTATATATTCTTATAACCTGTTTCCATTCTCCATTCAAATAAAGAGCAGACTGTGGTACAGTCCATTTACCCCATGTGTGCACATTCAGGAGCGACAGTCTCTGCTCCCTTTCCCTTGAGAGGGGCCAGATGTAATCACCCTTTGTTGGACTAGAAAGAGCTCAAACCTTTTACATTCCTGTTTGAATTTTTCCAAAGCAAAACCCACTTTGACCCCATTAAGAGGCAAGCCTGGCACATCTATCCCTGGGCCTTTAAAAAGCCATTTGCCTCAAATGGCTGTAGGGTTGTGGGGTGGAGGGAGGAAGGGCTGGGAGGGAGTGGGGAGGAGCTGCTAGCTGTAGTGTGACACACTGTAGTGCTTGCAGGAAAGGAGCCAGTCATGCCGGAAACACTGACTTCTGGGAAGCCACCCAGCTCTCATTCCTCCCTGCTGTTCGGAGGCAACATCTCCTCTTTTTACAGAGGGCACATCCTTTTTTCTTACAAATTCTTCAATAAAGACACATTCTTGAGTGAAATCCCAATCATGTCCTGTTTTCTTTCTGCTCATCCCCAGGTGTTTTGTTACAATGGTGTGAGGAGACCAGGTAGGTTCATGGGCCCTGTCTGTGTTTGACTTGGTTTAGCAGTGGCTTCTCTCCAGAGATGAGAGAGTCTGGGAAACCTGGGAGCCAGTATAAGCAACTGAAGCCCCTTCAGAGTCGCTTTTGGCTCTAGTGTGTGCAGCAAAATCTAGAAGCAGACCATTATTCCAGACGCACCTAAAATGAACTGTCCAGGGCACTTGGCCACCAAGTTGGAAGGTTTGGCTAGAAAGGCCATGTAGACCCTGTTGTTGGGGTGCCATTTATTGAGTGCTTACCACTTGAAATACACTACTGAACAGTTTGCATGCATTAACCAGCTCACAAGAATTCCATTTTTAGAGTGGAGGCCACAAGTTGCCCAGGTCATACAGTGAGTAAGTGGAAAAGCTAGGGTTCAAAGCTGGGCCAAAGGGCAAAACCCATGCTCTTAATGAAGATTCTCTTTTACTGCCAGGTTAGCACTGTGGGGGAAAAGGGAACAGGCCCACAGCTCCCTCTCCCAGGCTTAGAGAGCTTGAGATAGCTTTTAAAGGGAGGAAGCAAGAGATTGTGTCAGGCTGTATTTGGTAGCACTGCTTAGGGATAGCCTAAGGCCCTGAGGTTTAGACACTCAGGTTGTTGGAGGGAAATGGGGTCCCAGGCCTTGCCTGAAGTCTGTGTGCAGGCCTGAGATGGGGGGAGCCAGTTTTTGATGCATTGTGCTTGAGATGTGGTTTGGTTGTGCAAGGGAAGGACCAGGGTTTTCAGAACCACTGAGAAGGGCAGTTTGCACAGGACTTACCTGCTCTAGCTGGATTAGGCCACCAAGGAGGGATGGTCAGTTTCATGTCCCCAAATATAGGGACATCCTCTGAGCCTCTTTATGTCCCCCTCCATATTATAATTTGGGGTCCCAGGGCAGTGACTAAATTTTGGTCAACTGTGTCAGCACTTGGTGTGGGTCTCAGGCCAGTCACAATGGAGTCTGAATGAATGAAAGAGATTAAGGGAATGAATGTTGGGGCCCAGATGTGGAAAGCTTTATGTAGTGTCTAGACCCTGCCAAAAAAAAGTCAGCCGCACCGCCCTTTCCCTTCTCCAGGGGGACCCTCGCCCTTCCTCTCCTCTGGGTACCACAGCCTACTTTTGAGCAGCGGTTTGTATGCTGTGAGGTTTTAGATATTTCCTTTCCCAATGTTAAACTTGGGCAACATTACAGGATTAGGGAGCTGTGGAAACAAAGCTCCCTTAGTGACTTTTCCCAGTTACAGCCCCACGACTGGGGCTGAGGGAAGGAAAGAGCTGGAGACTGCAGAAGTATTTGGAGCATGCAATCCCCAGCAAACTAACTTCCTGGTCCTCACCCATGTCGTTGATTGGTTGTAGATTACACATCCCTCTCTTACTATGACTATGAGGCTGAGACAGCCCCCTAGGCTAGGCCATTCCCTCCCAGCAAGATGGGGCAGGTGAGCCTGGCTATATGGGAGAGGCTGACTAACGAGGATTTTGGGGGAGTTCTGGAGCTGGGTGGTTGATGCTGGTGGCCTTCGGGCCTGGGGCTGGCTGGGTGGAGCTCTAAGGAAAGGTCTCGGTCTTCAGCCTTTGGCCACCAGGGGTCTCCAAACCACCACTGTACTGTCCCAGAAAGTGACCATTGGACCCCTGGTTTTCAGAATTTGCTAGAAGATGCACCTGATGGAGCAAATCTTAGAGGCTGACCGGAGACTGGAAGTGCTCCCACTCCAATCAGCCCTACAGGACCTGAAAGCAAAGCTCACATATAGCTGCCAGGCTAAGCGCCTGCCTACTGGAGCCAGGGCATTGGAAGAGAGCATTGGCCAAGGATGTCTGGTCACATACATACTTCAAACTCTCATGCTGGCCTCCTGAGTTGTACAAGCTAGCTCTGAGCCCTCCCCTAATCAACCCCCCTTACTTCCTGAGTGGAGGCCAGAGCACCAGCCCCATTCCCCTGATGTAACACTGTCCCATTCCTGCCCCAGACCTCCAACACCAGTGAAATTTCCACATTCAGGTTTCATCTTCTCCTGGAGGGTTGGCCTCCCCTACATTTGTACTGGGCATCCAAGGCCAAGAAGCGGGTGGCAACAGAAGCCTCAGGAGCAGAAATTGCATTCAGTAAAATTAAAATAGTCTCCTAACAAGTAGTTCATTGTGGCTAGTAGGGGGTGGGGGTGCAGGAAAAATGTCCTCCCAGAGCTTAAGTGCTACCATGTGCTGTGTTTTGGAAGCCAAAGGGCCGGTGGGAGGGTAGGAGAGAGGAGGGGAGGGTGGTGGCAGGCAAGGAGCTGCTGTTACTGATCCCCAGCCTTTGATGTAGGGCCAGGCCTGACCCCAGGACAGCCGCCGGCCACTGCCAGGGGAGCAGTGGGACTCAGTGCATTCCTGGGGGCAATTTACACTCTGGCAGGAGGAGAGAGGAAAATTTCTACTGTGGGAAGGGGGAAGGGGGTGGAGGGAGGCCGCTGCAGCAGAGGCTGGGGGAGAGGGTGTTGTGAAGAACAATGGAGGGAGCCAGGACACAGAGTAGCACTCTCCTGCTTCACCCTGGCTCCCTCACCCACGTTGGGTCCAGGCCTCCTCCAGGAAGCCATCTCTGATGGAACCCAGAGCTGGTGAGGAGCTCACATGGGCTGGCCCAGGTACAGCCCAGGGGATGCAGAGAAGCAGCTGCTCTTTCCTCTTGGCTCTGGGAGCCTGGACTGTCAACCATGAGGGCATCTATGACTGAGCTAGGCTAGAGGAGGGATTGGGAGGGTGGTGCGCATGGGCGGGAGGACATTTGCCAGTGAGTGTGGATGAATGTTAGTCATAGCAATAGCTAATCTTTATTGCAGAGTGGCCATGTGCCAGCGCTAGTCAGGTGATAGGCCAGTACTTCACATGTATTTCTCATTTAGCATTCACCACAGCCCTACCACTATCTGCAGATGAGGAGACTGAGGAGCACAGCTAGTATACGGTGGATTCAGCACTTGAACCCAGATAGTCAGGACTTGAACACAAAGCTCTTATCCAGTACATTACATGTTATATATTTACGTTTTTGGGTTTCAGTGTCTGTTTCCTGGTGTTCCTTGGGCACTGTGTCTGGTGTGAATTCCTTTTTTTTTTTTTTTTTTGAGACAGAGTCTGGCTCTGTCACCCATGCTGCTGAAGTGCTGCAGTGCCACAATCTCAACTCACTGCAACCTCTGCCTCCCAGGTCCAAGCAATTCTCCTACCTCAGCTTCCTGAGTAGGTGGGACTACAGGTGTATGCCACCACACCAAGCTAATTTTTTTTGTTTTTTGTTTTTTGAAACAGAGTCTTGCTCTGTTGCCCAGGTTGGAGTGCTGTGGCATGATCTCGGCTCACTGCAAACTCCGCCTCCCGGGTTCAAGCGATTCTTCTGTGTCAGCCTCCTGAGTAGCTGAGACTACAGGCGTGTGCCACCATGCCTGGCTAATTTTTGTTTTTTTAGTGTAGATTGGGGTTTCACCATATTGGCCAGGCCAGGTCTCGAACTCCTGACCTCGTGATTCGCTTGCCTACGCCTCCTAAAGTGCTGGGATTATAGGCATGAGCCACTGTGCCCCACCTCAATTTTTGTATTTTTTTTTAGAGATGGGGTTTCACCATGTTGACCAGGCTAGTCTTGAACTCCTGACCTCAAGTGATCCGCCCGCCTTGGCCTCCCAAAGTGCTGGGATTACAGGCTTGAGCCACCGTGCCTGGTCAAATTCTTCCTTTTCTTTTCTTTTCTTTCTTTTCCTTTTTCTTTTTTTTTTTTTTAAGACAGAGTCTTACTCTGTTACTCAGGCTGGAGTGCAGTGGTGTGATCTCAGCTCACTGCAACCTCCGCCTCCTGGGTTCAAGCAATTCTCTGCCTCAGGCCCCCCAAGTAGCTGTACAGGTGCCTGCCACCATGCCCGGCTAATTTTTGTATTTTCAGTAGAGACAGGGTTTCACCATCTTGTCCAGGCTGGTCTTGAACTCCTGACCTCGTGATCCACCCTCCTCAGTCTCCCAAAGTGCTGGGATTACAGGCGTGAGCCACCTCAGCCGGCCTGAATTCTTTCATTTAACAAAAATGTAGCTCTGTGTTAGGGGCTGGGGACGTGGAGCTGACCTAGACTTTAGCCCAACCTGCCGGGACCTTCTGCCCATGGGGAAGCAGCTGAATGCAATGTGGGGTCAGGGAGAGAGATTAAAAATGAGGAAATAGGGGAAGTCCTGGCTCTGCTAGTTATTAGCCATGTGACACTGGACAAATGATTTGACCTTTGAGCCTCAGTTTTTTTCATCTGGAAAATGGGACTTATAATGCCTCCCTTGCTGGCTGTTTTAAGGATGACACAAGATGATATATATAAATGTCATGGCCTATGCTGAGTATTCCCTAACTGGCAGTTATGAAGAGCTTGATTGTTATTGGGGAACATCTTGCAAAACCACTGCATGGATGGATATATGAATGTCTGAATGTGTAAGGAGGGTAAGTTTGTGAAATCAGGGCATGTCTATGTTGTTCCTCACTGTAGCCCCAAGCATCTAGCACAGCTTGTCAGCACAAAGTAGATGCTCAATAAATGTTTATTGGCTGGGTGCGGTGGCTCATGCCTGTAATCCCAGCACTTTGGGAGGGCAAGGCGGGTGGATCACCTGAGGTCAGGAGTTTGAGACCATCTGGGCCAACATGGCGTAACCCTGTCTCTACTAAAAATACAAAAATTTGCTGGGCATGGTTGCACCTGGGATGGTGCAACCTGTAATCATGGATGCACCTGTAATCCCAGTTACTCGGGAGGCTGAGGCAGGAGAATCGCTTGAACCTGGGAGGCAGAGGTTGCAGTGAGCTGAGATCGCGCCATTGCACTCTGGCCTGGGTGACAAGAGTGAAACTCCGTCTCAAAAATAAATAAATACATGTTTTTAATTTTTATTTTATTATT